ATTAATATTTGTTTAAATATTTCTGAACAATAGTTGATAAAATTCCTGATGCGGTGCAACACTTATAAACGTAGTTAACATAGCTGAAATAGAAAGAGAATCAAATCGTCCTTAATTAACGAAATAAACTATTTTTATTCCACATTCCTCGTATCATCGGATTGAAAATTCGCATATTAGAACCAGCGGAACGCATTGATGAATGTATAGGTAAAGGAATTATACGCTGCAACCCGAATCTAGATAAGCCTGAATAATGGCACAAAAAATGTTCTAGTGTCACCACTTCAAGCACCGCCAAACGATTCATATCATTCTATAGCCCTTCTAACCATTCTATAGAAAACATGGTATGGAGAAGAAAAATGTTGAATCTTGAGGGTAAAAATATCTTTCTAAATTATATTTATAGTAACTTTTATACAAAGTAGTAGAAACTACAAAATTGAATTCTTGATGAAAATTCAATTCGTTTATTTTTACTATTGATAACAGTTAGTTATTTCACAGATTCTAAGAATCTAGCATATGTTATCTTCTACACTATTTACAGTACAGAATGCTCAATAAATAAACTTAAATCACTAGTTAAGTAGTGCTTTTTCACATAATGAAGAAAGCAATGATTCTGGAGTTAGTATAACCAATGAGACTAGAATATTATGATTATATTCAATGGCATCCAGAAAAGTGTGGTTATACTTAAATTGATCATAGAAGTTATTAAGACAAAGAATGTCGCATTATATCTTAAGAATCTATAAAAATTGTTCGAGAAGTTGTGAATAAAACAAACATAACAATCATATTAGTCAAGAAGATCGTCTATAAGAATTTACGAACGCATGAGTTCTTGTAGCTTTTGTTAGTTCTCTGATCTGTTGATCTATATTTTCTTTTTTAGTACAAGCGGTTTAATTCATAGCACTATCTTGTTAAAACCATATGTGTCCTTTGTCTCTTCATAAGATCGGTATGAATACTGTAGTCTTATTTTGTAACGCTCATCATTAGTCATAACACCTGTACCGTTTTTAGTATAATTTGAATCTGCCTTAGATGAGTTGGTGATTTTTTTAACAAAACCTAAGTATTTCCACAGTGGGGCACACTGGAATGAACCAGAGGGGTTTAAATTAGACCCCTCTTTTGGCGAGACAGTTGTTACTTATATTGTATTCGTAACAATCATACCTTGATATTCAGAAAATTATTAATAATAATAATTAATAAATAATAATAAATGATAATAAAATAATTAATAATTATAAGAATTCGGTTTAAACAGAAAGTCTATGACATTGCTGCAGATCTTCACAAAAAAAATGAAATCTCTCTTTTTATCATGATACGTTTAGATTTGAGTTCAGTTCTTATCGAAATTACTAAGATACGAAAAATATGATTGTTTGCCATTTTTAATTATAAATAAATATTAATGCTGAAAATAATATCTTCAACATAGAAGTCAAATATATTCATGAAATCCATGCGGAACTAAATACAATGCAAATTTATACTAACATACCAACATGTATTACTAAAAACTATTAATTATAAAACAACTAACAATCTTTTAATATTTTTAAAGTATGCCTAATAATTTTTATAAAAGTTCCCCTTAAAAAGACATTGTTTTATTGTAATATATTAAATCTAAATATATATTAAAAACTTGTTTTATCAATTTAAAAGATTTACGTTCTTCTCTGTATAATTAATCATTATTTTTAATGGTTTAACTTTCAAAATATTATTATTAATCATTCAAAAAATTCAAACATATTTTTCCTATGTATATCTATAGCACATTGTATCTATAACAAAAGTATAAAACTATTTGGTAAAATAAATAACTTTCCTTCCACCACTTTCATGATCTAACTTCAATGTCAAACAAAAATTTTTGTTTGAAAAAATCATGATTGCAATACCTTTTAAAATTATATAAAATGTACCACTAATTACTAAAACCAAAATATACGAAATAATTACTAAAGTCCAGTACTGCAATAAGTAAGCAATACAGTAGTACAGCAGTACAGATTTGTGGATGTCAATGGAACTTCTAAAAAAATTTAATGATGTAATTGTCATATTTATTAACAAAAGGAAACCGAGTGCTGATTACTCTTTTTTTATGAAACAATAGCACCAACTGATTTTTGCATCATTTCAGATTGTTTCATGTAATAATTAAGATACAAAAAATTTATTACTTTGCTTAAAGTCGCGCTTCAAAAAATGGCACGAAAAATGAAATAAAAGCAAACTAAAATTTCTTACCTCTAACAGATTTTTTCAAAATAAAGAAGTGTTAAAAAATTTCAAAAAAAGGCAAAATTAAGACATAAAAAAAAATTACGAAACAATAAAAAACGACAAATTTTTACGAAATTTTTAGCCCACGCAATGGACGCGCCACTGATCTCGGGTCACTTGGACTGACTGTGATTTGCGCATTTAATTAGAGCTCCATTATCAGTGACAGAAAATAATGTATACTTTTTTCTTCTTTTTTTGATTTCAAGTTATAATTAAAAAAATAAAAAATCTGCGAAAAGCGTGACTTTTTGTAGAAACAAATATTTAAAAATATTTTACGACATAAAACTAATATTTTGTAATAGTAGATTTGTATTTTATACGAAATCTCAGTCTTTTAATAATTTTTATTGTATGTAAATATTTAGTTTGTTTTTAGTTGAGTGTTTCAGTTTAATGTGCCTAATAGATTTTATATACTTACTTACTTACTTAGTTGGCCATTACTGATATACGTCGTCCTTGGCAGCGTCGAGTAGCCTTCGCCTGTCAGCCCGATTAGTTGCTTGCTGTCGCCAGTTGTTAATACCGACCGCCCCCAAATCGTTGGTCACCTGGTCCTTCCACCGAACACGCGCACGTCATCTACCCGCATTTTCTATCTGCAGATACCGAATTAAACACCTTTCTAGCCAGAGGTGGAAAGGTCACCGAAGCCGCTGAATTTTTATGCGCTTAACTATATCAATGTCGCGGTATAGCTCATACAGCTCATCGTTCCATAATTCGATACATTTCGCCAACGCGAAAGAGACAATAGATCTTCCAAAGAATTTCTCACTCGAATACTCCTAACGCCTTCTCATCACTGTTGGTATTTGTTCAACCTTCTGCACGCTATAGCAGGACAGTCATAATAAGAGATTTGTAGAGTGTGATTTTTGTTTGTCGTGAGATGGCTTTATTTTTCAATTACCTGTTTAGCCCTAAGTAACATCTGTTGGCAAGAGTGATTCTTCGTTGAATCTCTAGGCTGGCGTCGTTTTTGGTGTTTAAGCTGATTCCTAAATAACAAAAGTCTTTTACAACTTTGAATTTATAAGTGTCGTATAACAATTGATGTAGGACCCAAGACGCTCAGGAGAGTTGTTTGTTGGCAGAAAGTACTTTGTTTTGTAGATTTTATATACAAAAATATAAAGTTGTATTTATGGTATAATAAGCTCAGTATACTCAACGTCGGAACAGTGAACAATATAATATTAAAACTAACAGGTTACTAACACCGCGTTATCAAGGTGTCAAGGCGTAAAGAGGTGTCAAGGGGTTTTAAGAATACCTCGAGTTAAGAAAGAGTAAAAGTGCTTAAGTGCACTGGCTCAAATAGCTTCAACATAATAATATAAAACCATTTAACAGATTTAAGTAATTCTAATAAACTAATATTTGGTATTACTTTTAGAGTTTGATTTATTTGATTTTAATGTAATATTAAACGGCTCAAAAATATTTATGAATCTAAACTTATATATTTATAGAACTTAAAATTCTTTATTTGCAGTTTTGTTGTTGACATTTACAGTATTTGCAAATATTGTATAAACTAAATTAAGTTCATAGTCAAGTTAATTTAAAAAAATGCAAATTCCCATAATTAGAAATAAGTCCAATATAAAATTAAAATGCGGAAAAATAGCGAAACAATGTATTTCGCTATACACAATTTTTATTTAATTACAAACCACTAATAATCGAGACGAAATGTCAGACAAATGTTTGCCATTGTCATCACGTACTACGTAATCTACGTAAGTTTTGTGACCACTGACATAGTCTCAGAAATAGATGCTCCAACATGCAAATTGCTGCCAATATGAGAAGTTGAACAAAAAGCCTCAAAGTGGTACATACTAGACAAGAGCACTTCAATCCACAAAAATAGCAAGCGGAAAAAAATGCAATTTAATGTGTATCTTGGCTGTTACATAGTCAGTCGGTTGTAGTTGCAATTTTTCGCAAAGTCATGTGACTGACTTACACTTCAAGTGATACGAGTACCAAGTGTAATTGCTACCCTCGTCATCATTATACAGTAACGAATTTAATAAGTGCAAAAGCCTGAATTAAGGCAACCTTTTACGGTACTATTTAAGTGGAATTCATTGCTGATATTGTTGTTGTGGAAGTTATGATCTTTGTCTTACCATAAGCTAAAGGCAGGCACTGAGGATGTCTTTAAAGGTGACATGAGAAACAACTACAATTTAAGTTAGTAGATAGTTTCTTTGTATATACACAAGTATATATTTTTTGTTAATTTTAAATTGTGTTACTTTGTTTTGGCTTTTGCCTGCTGTCTTTGGGTAACGTTCATCACGTTTACAGATGCAATTCCGCAGATAACCGTTGTGCTTTGTTCAACAACACAGTTACATAATCTTAAAAGCAACAACTGCAGCTATTATTATATAGAAAACGAAAAATAATGCGAATTTACAAAAATGCTAAAATAATACCACAGCGCTACTCTTTATTTCTTTACATCAGCCGGGTTTATTTCAGAGTTGCAATCTTTAGAATGTGGGTCAAATACTTGGTTTCATATTACATTGAAAAATCGAAAAAAATGAAAATTTGCACATATTAACTATTGCGCTATAATTTTTTTCTTTTATATTTAAATATATAATATTATTATATACCATTAATTAATTTCTATAAAATTTCTATTTTAGTTTACAATAACATCATTCATGCTGTTAAATTTGCTATTGATCTTGACACGAGTAAGTATATTTTTTCTTAATATAATAAGTGATAATAATATTAAGTTTTGTTATTTTCATATTTTCATATTTTTAATTTTAAAGTTAAATTTAAATTTATTTCCATTTAAAATGAAAGTCTCTTCACGCTCATAAAATGTTTAGTGTAAGTTATTATTGGTCACATTTGGCCCCTATTAGATATAATAATATATTTTATGTGCTTGTTTATATTTCATATTTTTTTATGTTTCAAAAACTAATTATTAAAAATAATTTATAGAGCCTTCAAGGAGCCTAAATTTATTATCTTTTACGGATAATATTTAAAAACTATATATTTACACAATCGTAAAAAACTGTAGGCTTTCATAAACATATTTGTTTATCTTTTATTATTAACACACTCTTCACATATATATTGAGTAAAGCAAATAAGAATATTAACAATATTTCTGTAATTTTTGTATCATACTGAAGCATATGTCGAAAAATAAATATTTTGAATCAATTCGGATATTTAAACCAATCTAATAAGGTCTATGAATACACATGTCGATTTTTGTTTACAAATTTCTAAGCACCATTAAAAAAATATAGATTTTCTAATTTGAAGAGTTTTTTAGATAGACTTCCAAAACCCCTGTGTGAAGAGTATTTAAACTACAGCGAAGCCAATACTAACTTGCTTACATATTTCAATTTATTTTCAAGTCACATAAGTTAATAGCATGTATTAAAATTTAAGTTTAGTTAAAGTGGTAAAAAAGTAGTTATTTATTTTAATTTTTATTTTAGTTTTCTTTTAAAAGTTATTTTGTTATTGTAGGGTAAAATATTTTGTATCCAAAATAAAACTTTTTTACAGATTATATAGAAGGTAGAGATGCTTTTGAAATTGTAAAATTTTCATATTTTTTGTGACTTTTAAATATATTAACAAATTTAATAGAGCACAAATATTTATAGGTTTTAAAAAATAAATTAATATTGCAAAATAACTCTAAAGTCTTTAAACCTAACAAAAGACTGAAGCAACATACTTTTTTAGTTTACATGCATAAAAACTTCACAAGCCTTTAAGGCAACATCAGAAATGAAGTGAAAATCTGCAATATTGAATTTAAAACATTTTTATGCTGCAATAGTTACAAAAAGACTCAAATATTTGCAAGAATGAAAAAATGTATCTTAAAATCGAAAGTCAAGTAGAAGATAAAAGATAAAAATCAATAATGGTCAGCAGGTCTGATTGTAGAAACAAAAACCGTCGTCCTTCAAGCTAATAAAATTTTAAGTATTCCATTTATTATACAGCCTATCACGAAACTATACTGAAACCGTACACAGCATTCCGTGTCAATCAGCAACATCACTCACAACAACAGCAACAACAATTTTTTAGCGGCGATATCGGCAACACTACAATCAAGCTTTGAGTAGTAATACCTTAATTTCTTTTCTTTGTTTTTTTTTTTGGCAATAAATAATAATAAACACTAAATGCAGCGCAATCAGCCGACATAGCAGCCGCACCTTTGATATCAGCTATATTGGCTTAATGAAGTTTCAACCTGCAAAGCGCAACTTGTGCTTGAATAAAACTACCTAAAAAACATACCTTGATTCACTTGCTGCGTGAAAAATGCTTTTTCATTGCAGCACATTTCTTTAGGTTTTCAGATTCAAGATTTCATCTCCATTACGAAAGATTTTCGCAGTACACAAAAGCGAATGTACTTTTATTCCACTATACCTCAACGACTATAGTTCAGGTGATATAAATTTCTACATACATATAACATACGTATATGAGAGTATATATTAAGATACTTTATTCGTACACAACTTTTTACTTTATGCCCAACTTGTTTGGTTGCCTGTCACGTTGCGATTCGGTGAAATTCTTTGCGAAATAATGTATGAGATTGCAGTACGGCTCAATATATAACCCAGTGTTTGGCGTGGCATATGCTGCGTTCGTGTTGCAGTTATGTTGCTACTCGTTTATACAATAAAAGGCAAAAATCGAATTTTGTATACAATAAATAAATTTTTTTTCTCAATTTTTGTAACTTTCATTGATTAATTTCATGCCATTACTTAAGCATTTTTATCTGACTGCCTGCAAACACATATATGAACTTTTTACTTGTAATGCTTATGAAATAATTTCACTTTTAATCGCAATTTCAGAAAAAACACAAAAAGTGCAATTTGTGCCCATAAAAAAATTTTTTTTTGGAATTACTCTCATTTTTTTATATTTAAATTTTATAACACTTGGCGTGAGAATTTCTCTACAATTATCTTATCAAATACGTATCATTTCTTTAAAAACACAACCATACATATTTTTATTAAAATCATGTATAAGAGGAAATTAAAATTATTAGAAGAAAAAATATTTTTGTAAGAAGGTATATATAATCATGATCATCAAACATATAGACACACAATTCTTCAATTCACTCTAGAGCTTCTCCAATATGAAAATCACCAAAATACTTTCAATCTTCAAAGCTTTTGGAAAATTATTAAACGCACAACCCTATTTCCAAAGTGATGAGAATGATGGAATCAAAAAGTTTTTAGAACAATCTGATGATGTAAGGTATTTGAATTTCAACTTGATTGAGATACTAAGATTAAGATTAAGAACTAAGATTAAGATACAAAGATATTATTTTACCAGAACGTAGACATTTTACATGCATATTTATTATTAATTCTGATCATTTTTATATAAAAATGTATTAAATTAAATGGTATATAAATTATAAGAGAGTACACAAATTATAAGATAGTTTGTTTATAACATTGTATTTGTCCGAAGAAGAAGTTATAGTCTTATTAAATATTAGCAATACCAATAATCTCTACAAATTTATGACAAGTGTCTTAAGTGTTAAAGAAGATTAAATTTTGAAGACTTTATATGAATTTTTATTATATGTAAATAATATTCACCACTTTTTGTATGCTAATCTAAGACACAACAAATATTTAGTATTTGTATCAACTATAATTTTTATAAAATTGTATAATTTTATGTAAGTGCTGTACAAATTTTTTTGAATCAATAATAAATATATATATATATAACATTGTAAAAACTATCTAAAATTTTTATATATGAATAAATCTGGAAATCCAAAATTCTCATTGAGTTATCCCGTAGAGATATCAGTCTTTTGGTAGGTTTACTTACAGGTCACAGTAAACTAGGGAACCGTGCTAGAAGATTAGGTCTCCCTAATTAGTCTCAATCAAATCTGTCGCTGTGGGGAAAAGGATGAGAGTGCCTCTCATCTACTATGTTTTTGTCCAGCTCATGTACGGCAACGATTCAATACTTTAGGAGCCCCCTTTCATGAGGATCTTGACCAATTACAAAACCTGACACTAAATAGGAACCGTGCTAGAAGATTAAGTCTCCCTTTCAATGAAATCTGTCGCATCTGTCGCTGTGGGGAAAACGATGAGAGTGTCTCTCATCTATTATGTTTTTGCTCAGTTCATGCACGGCGACGATTCAATACTTTAGCAGCCCCCTTTCTTGAGGATCTTGACCAATTACAGAAACTGACATTAAATAGCATTTTATGCTTTGCCAAAGGTTTTAAGTGGTTTTAAACCCTGAGTTTTTCCTATATATACGGTAACAGAATGGGCCAATAGGCTTAAGTGGATCCACTAGGGATCGCCGATATAACCTAACCTAAATCTGATTTCATCTGTCAACTATTGGATGCATTATTATATTGATATATTATAATATTAATGGCCAAAGTGTTTAATTCAATTTAAAAATAGCAGTACTAAAAAACAGTTACTCCTCTAAGTGAAACTTATACATTACTTTGAACTATTTTTATTTTAAAATAAAAATAATGTTGATATTTGATTGTGGAATTTGGAATTTTTAAAACGAGTGATATCCATAAATATTATCATAAATAATATGATTTACATTTACTACTTTTTTATCTAAAAACATTGATTGCGGTTAATAATATAACTAAGTATTTACAATTTACTTTTTCTTTCAGTTACATTATCTGTAACTGTTATCGCCACACTTAATATGCGGTTAAAATGAACATTTTGCATTCACAAAATGTATTTAAGTACTAAGTAATTCATAAAAATTGGCAATTAACTAAAAATTTTATTAATAATTTCGCAATGAAATAAATTATAAAATTAAATGTTTGTGTTGTAATTTAAATTTTTTTCGTGCAAATTTCAAATAATGTATCCACATTAGTTGAATTATTGCCATAAATTAGCTTATCTGTGCTGCGGCTGTGCTCGCCAAATACTTTTCATACACTTCATACACGCTGACGTATACGCAACCTGTGCAGCGCAGGCAGGTACTCATACTTACATGAGTTAGTATGCATGTAAAGACACTGCAACGACGTTACTAAGACAGCATTAAATGGCTAAGACCGCAATTGATATAAGTCAAAGTCAAAACGAAAAGCACTTTCACCTTCATGTCAAGCTCGAATCAAGTCAATCGGCTTTAGTTATATTGATATGATGCCAGTGCCGATTACATTTATCTCTTGAATTTAGATTTGGATTTATTTGTTTAATTAATTTCAAAGACAATCACATGTTTTAATCTCATAACATTAGGTGAAAGAAAAAAGAAAAGTATATGAGGACTCCTACTTGACCTTAGTGTTTTACAGAAACCAATTACAATAGAGTTTTCCAAATAGGTAAGCCTTTTAGAGTTAAAACGAATACCTTTATGTAACCGATTTCATTTCTATTATGTAGCCGATCAGAGAAAACATGTGTATATACAAACAAATATATATATAATTAAAGATAAAAGTATCAGTTTAATTTAACAAAGTTAGTTCGTTCATCAGAGAAAAATATGCCATAAAAATAACTAAGAATACTCATACGTAACAAACTACTTGTGCGTTGAGCCAATAAAATAAACATATCGCAATAATAATGATATGCAATATAATGATTAACTAAACTTCTATTAT